CTTCCGACTAGGGCCAAGACCTTTCCCTACAAATGGTTTTCCCGGACAGCTTTAAACCCAAGTGTTAACCACTCGTCGATCTTTCTCCTACCGGGATTATCGACAGTGCATGGTTCAATACTATGCTTCTCCAAAACAAAGAAAGGAAGCCATTCTTGGCTATTCTATTTTGATACAAAATTCGTCTTTACAAACATTCCTATGTGGTTCACCCAATGGTGGAACTACTTTGGTCCTACTCCCGACATACTTACTCCCGCAATCACCGAGAGTTATACTCTCTTCAAAACCCATTACAAACCTTTAGAAAAAGAAAAAAGATTTACCCCTCTTTTCCTTTTCTCGCACAAAATTCTTCCTTCCTTAGGTTTGTTCCTAGTATTATGAAACACAAAATCACAAACAGTGCCTTAATCCTCGTTCGAAGGTTCAAAGTCAAATGGTGGGATTCCTTCCGATTCCATCATCCATTTCCAAAACAGTATTGAAGAATGGCTTACAAAACTAGGATTTCTCAAGCCATCATCCTCAACAACCGATTTCCTTGCACAAAAATCCGTTGTGAATGCCGTACTCGCAACGAAGAAAATCGAAGAAGAATACTTCGCCATCATTTCCGAGATGGTTCAAAACCGATCCAATTCTTCACATACAGTAGATTCGCATTCGAGTCGAACCCATGATACATTTGGGAAATGATGACGAAGACGAATCCTATGACATCTTCTCCCAAGTTCATCACCCGTGAACTTTGACAAAAATTGCACATTCCGGGCATCTTCCTATCTGCCGATAAAAACAGCTTCTCTCCGGAGACAAAAATTCACAAGACTCATCACTCGTTCATCCCACGTGACACAAGAAGACAAAATTGCTTTCGGCGTCTTACTCGTTCATCAACACGTGAAGACACCGTAGCAAGTTACTATTTACTTTTACCTGTACATTTTTTACTATTTATAGGTACTCGTTCACATGTACTCGTTCATGACAGACTTTCGCTATATAAAAAGAGCTCATTTCGAGTTGTAAGATAGAATTTTTAGTTTTGGAGAATTTTTACATTATCCTCTCTAGTTTTCGGATATTCTCTAAGAAAGATTTCTCCTTTCCTCCTTCGAGATTCCGAAAACCTCTCCCGTAAGGTACTTTCCTTTGTAAATAAATAAAAGTTTTTATCTTTCTTTCATTTAAGTTTATCATATTTAGTGGCTGGCTCTACCACCCATCTATGTTTAATTTTATTTTCATTTTAATTTAAAGTTCATTTATTTCTTTGTTTTGTTCATCTCGCATCTCCGTGGTCGGCTCTGTCGCTCATTTATCAATCCGCATTTCATACATCTTCCATTTCATACCCCGCACCATTCATTAGATCCTTGGGTCTTATAGATGAGAAGGGTCACCTATGAAATGAAGAGAAATAGTTAAGATAAGGGTGGATACAGACATCTTGGATGGGTTCTCCTATATATATATATATAATCAAGATAGATTTTGAATATATAAAAATGTAAAAGAACATAAAATAAAAATATGGGCTAAAGAGATGAAAAATTGAAACAAAATCTAAAAATACAATATATATGAGAATAATTTAATAAATCTAGATTAAATGCCGAATGATCTCCGAAAATCTTAAAGATAAATATAAATCCAAACTAGATAGATTAAAGGAAATAGCTATTGACCGTGTGACTCAAAAGAAGAAACCGTATGGATTCTCAAGCAAACATAAGTCTACATGGGTAGAAGGTATTGCACACGGTTTGTAGTGCAAAGTTACAAGCTCGTGTCTTTAAAGCAAGGCAAGTCTACATGGGCGGAAGAGATTCAACATGACTTGAAGAATAGATACACATGGGCAAAAGCTTTGCAACACGAGATATAGAGCAAAGGCGTATGGTCGTGTACCCTAGTTAGCAAGTCATGTAATACTTATTTTCCAAGGCTCCAAAACGTGTGATATCATGCAACAAACCATTTAAATTAATGTTTTAAGCCATGTGGCCATATGGGGATGACATACATGTGATGTAACCTTAGTTTTAAATAGCAAAGCTAGGGTCTTATTTTGCTCTCTTCCGCTTTGCCAATCTTTAGCAACCATTTTCCTTAGAAACTCTTTTTGTAATTCATTACAAACAACTAAACTCCACTATTGGTTGAATCAAGTTGAAACTTTTGGTTAATCATTGTGAGATTACTAGTTTTATTTCTAAACTTCTCTTTATTGAGTATTTTATGTTTTTCCGTATGATTGGTTCATAGTCATATGATTAATTTAATAAGAGATCACACTAGAATTTAGGCATATTACTTATTGCTAGCTAAGTATTCAAGTCTATGTAATTGCTTATGTAAGCTTGCCCATGGTAGTAACTAGGGGTTGATGATTATGTGGTGTTTTCATTCAATTTCTTGAAAAACATAGAACTAGGTTACATCTTCTTTAGCACTTAGGAAGGTGGATTAGCTTCACCTATCTTTCTCATCTTAATGTTGTTATTGGATTAAATCAATCTAGCCCTTGGTAGATTTTTCAATAGCTAGAGAATTAATTAGATATCGTATATTCAGTTAATGATTAAGTAAGAAAAGACTGGGGTCAACATACATGTTATTGCCTTACAATGAATATTCATGTTTCGGATAAGTTCATTATTTAATCAATGATCAATGACCAAACTAAAAGTGGATATTGAAGTTCAACCAAGGACTTTTCAATATTGATATTCTTTATTACTTTCTATTGTTTTCAAACATTTCAAACACACAAACCTCTTTTTTACACTATAAGAACACTCAAACAACCAAAAAAATTGATTGATTCTCTTTCCTTTTGGGTTCTACCCTTACTTGCCTTGATTACATAACAATGATTAAAGGCTCTGTAAGGACAAATATACATTTCTAATTTGATGGTAGTATGACTTGCCATCAAATTTTGGCATCGTTATTTGGGACTACAACTAAAATTTATTACTTTTAGATATTTTTTATTTTTCTTATGTTTTGGTTATCTATGGTGTATAACCAAGTCTCAATCGAGAGATTTGATTTTCAATCTTGAATCAAAAAGAGAATTGAGTAAGTTGAGAAAAGAAGTAAGGTTAACTTCCATTGGGAGAATTGAGTCATCTAAAAAAGTGGTTTCAATAGGTATAACGATGGTTCTCAAATTCTTATCATTGAGGAACTCAAAGGAAGAAGATATGGCTATAAACAAGGCAAACTAGATATTGAAAGAGCTAGCTACTCTTGATCTTAATCAACGATCCCAATGTATCAAGTTCATGAATCAAAAGGTGGTGTTTAAGCTAAAATTGGAACTAATACACCTAGTTGAAAAAGACCCTCAAACATCTAAAAGAATTCAATGTGGTTTGCTCAACGATGAGGCCATAAGGAGTATCGAAGGAGAAAATCAAATTAAGGGCATTCCCTTTTTGTTAGATAGGGATACTAACGATTGGTTATATGATCTCCCTATGAGATCAATTGACTCTTGGAGTAGAATGAAGCATGCATTTTTGATGAAGTACTTTCCTACTTTAAGGGTTACAAGTATAAGAAAATATATAGGATTCAATAGTTTACTTGAGAAAATCTTTATGGGTATCGGGTGTGGTTTAAGAAGTTATGTTTCCATTACCTACACCATTAGATTTATGATCAGCTATTGATTATTTATTTCTATGAGGGTCTACTCTCTATAGAGAGGAGCTTGATAGATGTAGCTAGTGGAGGAGTACTGATAGACAAAATGCTTGATGCTACAAGGGATTTGATATCAAACATGGTTGCTAACTCACAACGAGTTTGGTGCGAGGATTGATCATGTACCAAAAAAGGTTTAGAAGGTTAATGTTTTGAGTTTATAGCACCAAATGGTAGATTTTACTTTTTTGGTAAAAAATAATAGTTGGTAATCTATGAGCAATGAAAGCTTGAGGAATTTGTTCTACTATCGAACACATGACGGATGCATGCCTTACCTTGTAAGAGGGCCACATAGAATAGGTACATATAGTTAAAAACTTTAGAGGTGGCCAACCAAGACCATTTCTCCAAAACTTATAGTCTAGAATGGAGAGATCACCCAACTTGAGGTATGGGGAGAGTAGACAAGGTAGGAAAAACTTCTATCAATAAAGGAAATAAGGGTACCAACCTAGGCCTTTTCAACAACAAGTCCCATCACATTCTAAAAGTTCTTTAAAAGAAACAATGAAGTCTCTTGCTGCGAGAACTAAAAAATTCTAGCAAGGGACTAGATTAAGCATTCAAAATTTGAAGAATCAAATGAGTCAATTGACAATTGCTATGAGTAGTTTAGGGGCTCGAGCGGAGGGAAATTACCATCCCAAATGGTGATAAATCCCAAAGATAGTGTGCATGCAATGAACTTGAAGAGTGGTGCTCGTATAGAGCAACCAAGCAAGAGTTATCTAAAGTGCTTAAAGAACAAAGAGTAGAGGTAGAGGAAGAGAAAGAGAGTGCAACTATTGATGGGGCTACGCCAAGCCCTAAGGTACATACCGATCCTTCTACTCTATTTTAATTGATCATGTGTCATTTCCTAGCGAGGTTAGAGAAGCCTAGGAAAGAAGAGTTGAAAAAGAAAAAAGAAAAATAGATTTTTAAGTTATTCAACAAAATAGAGGTGAACATACCTCTATTAGAGGCCATGAAGCAAGTGTCTTGATATGCCAAGTTCTTAAAGGACTTATGCACCAATAAGAGGAGACTGAACATGAATGAAATGGTAAGAAAAGAGAGAATGTTTTCATGGTATTATAATAGAACATCCCTCCCAAGTGCATGGATCTAGGTATGTGATAAGGCCCGGATCGGGTGGGTCTATAGCAGAAGGAAGAAGAAAGCAACAGGGGAAATAACAAATTAAAGCACCTGGGCTACGAGTTCTCCGTTAAGCTTTGAATTATGAGAAAGGAGAATATTGTGCTTCGATTGGTTAATTCGTCGAGTTCTAGAATATGCTCGACGTGGTCAATTCCGTTAAATTCTGTTTCTCTCACGTCCGTCATGCGTCCGTTATGTCTTTGGCATTTTCTTATTTTTCTTGTTCTTATATAGGGATTAGTGAGAGGGTGAGGGGAGGATTGGAGAACATTCGAGTTGTGGGAGGCCATTGGGTCGGGGAGTGTGGCGATCACTCGAATACTGCCGATTTTGTTATCTCGCTATCTTCGATAAAAAGTCCTCTCACCATCCCTCATTTTCACTCGTTCCATTACTTTTCTTTGTTATTACGTTACGAAATTTCCGGGTTCTTATCATTTGGTATCGGAGCGGTCCCGATCCTCGAGATTGCTTATGACCAAAACCAGAATGGAGCAACAAATGGAAAAAATCGAAGCGAAATCCTTAAGCTTCCGGGTTTAGAGAAACAAATTGATGATATGAGGACGGAGCTAAATGGGTCAATCGTCGCTTTATTCCAAAAGCTGGATGACACTATGAGACTTAGGGGGAAGGAGGTCGGTGTTGAAGGAAGTACCCGGGAGAACCAAGCTTTACCAAGTCTGCAGTCGAGACGTCGGAATCCATTAAATCCGAAGCTAAGGTCATATTGGAGAAAATGGTGGAGAGAGAACGACAACCTCGAAAAGCTGGATTTGGCCACTTTTGGTGGGGAAGATCCGGATTCATAGATCGTCGAGCCGAGCATTACTTTTTGTGAACAAGTTGAGTGGGGTCGAGAAGCTAGAGGCGGCGAGGGTGTGTTTTGAAGGAGAGTCTTAAGCTTGGTTACGGTTTGAGGAAAGGGAGAAGCCACTTTGTTTCTTGGGAAGAACCGAAAAATCGGATGCTTGGTAAGGTTCTTGGGCCTCGAGGGAGGGTCAATGTTACATCTTTTCTTTACGATGAAACAAACGGGAACGATAGCGAGTACCGGTGCTCGGTTTGAAATGTTGGCAGTTGCGGCGGGGAAGATCGAGGAAGCCACAATGACGGTAGTCTTCATTAACGGCTCGGAGGAGAAGATTAAGGCGGAGCTGTTCATGCTTAATCTTGTCGGGTTGAAGGAGACAATGGTAGTGACGACGAAGAATTGAGAATAAGAACCTAGTCCTATACCCTCAAACCAATCCCAAAAGGCCTAAACGGAACCCGGCCCAATAACCACCAAATCGGACCACAAAACAATCTCATGGACTCCAAACCGTTCTTATAACCCAACAACACCAAAACCTTATACTCGAATACTACCCAAACCTATTCATTCCAGAATATACAACCCAACCAAACTTTTACGGGGTCGAACACCAAAACAAACACCTCAACCTTTTCTACAAACTCACGGTTCAAGAGGATTCCGGATGCTTGAGGCACGAGGCTAGGAGGGATAAGGGGTTATGCTATTGCTTGTGATGAAAAATGGTATGTTGGTCATCGTTGTAAAAATCGAGAGCTACACGTTATACTCGTTGGAGATGAATTTGATGAAGAAGGGTCGATCACCGAGGCAAGGGAAGAGGAGGTATCGGCATTAGAAGGAGTTGAGCCGTCTCTTAACTCGTGGTTGAGCCGTCATCCCTACGGACCCCGAAGATGAATGGGGTTGTGGAAGGATCGGAAGTAGTGGTGCTGATTGACCCGAGTGTGACCCATAATTTTATTTCGCTGGTGTTGGTGGAGAAGTTGGGGCTACCCATTTCAGCAACTCCTAATTATGGTGTGGTAATTGGGAATGGAAGCCGATTGAAAGGGGAGGGAATTTGTAAGAGAGTAGTGCTTGCAATTGGGGACTCTAACGAGTAGTAGAGGATTATCTACCCTTCTCAATGAGTAGTACCAACTTGATATTAGGCTTGAAGTGGCTAGCCACATTGGGGGTTATGGTAGCAGATTGGAGGAAGCCTTTTATGAATCGACTATGAATGGGCGGCGAATCGAGTTGATAGGGGATCCAAGTCCGAACCATGCTTTAGTGTCTTTCAAGGCTTTGGTCAAGACAATGCAACTCGAAGATGAGGGAGTGCTATTAGAACTTCACCATTTGATCGTAAGTGAAGAGAACATACCGGACATTAGGGATATCACCATTAGTGAGGTTTTAGATCGGTTCTAAGATCTTTTTTTATCACCTACCGGTCTACCTCCGGAGAGATCCTTTGATCACTCAATCCCTTTGAAGCGAGTACCGAGCCAATCCGAGTTAGGCCTTACAGGTATCCTCACATCCAAAAAAAAGAAATTGAGAAACTTATTTTGGAGATGTTACTTACAGAAATAATTCGACCTAACAACATTCCTTTTTCTAGTCCGAGTCCTCCTCGTGAAGAAGAAAGACAAAAGTTGGAGATTCCGTGTGGATTATCGAGCCCTTAACAAGGCCACCATTCTAGATAGGTTTCCAATCCCGAATATCGACGAGTCGTTGGATGAGTTACATGGGGCCATCATGTTTTCCAAGCTTGATTTAAAATTGAGTTATCATCGGATCCGAGTTCGGCCTTCCGATATCCACAAAACCACATTTGGAATGCATGAGGGTCACTACGAGTTCGTGGTCATGCCTTTCGGACTCACAAATGCTCCGACAACATTTCAAGTGTTGATGAATGCCATCTTTAAAGGAGTCATAAGGAGCTATGTATTGGTTTTCTTTGATGATATACTCATTTATAGCGCTACGATGTCCGAGCATTTATCACATCTCCATGTTATACTAAACATTCTCTCGTGAGAACTAGCTTTTTGTGAACTATAAGAAATGCTTGTTTTGGACGACTCAAATCGGAATACCTTGGGCACTTGATTTCTGCTGCGGGGGTAGAGGCGGATCCGGATAAATTGAGAGTGATGGAAGAATGGCCTATTCCTAAATTCTCGAAGGAGTTGCGGGGGTTCTTAGGGATCACCGATTACTATTATCGATTCGTGAAGGACTATGGCAAGATTGCGGCACCCACGACTCAATTCGTTGCGCAAAGATTGCTTCCAGGTGGATCGAGGAAGCTACCGTGGTAGTGAACAAATTGAAGACGGCTATGGGGAGTGTCCCTATTTTAGCACTTCCCGATTTTTCCATCCCCTTTGTGCTAGAAACGGATGCCTCGTGTTATGGATTTGGGGCGGTTATGCCTCAAAATGGGAGGCCCGTTGCTTTCTTCGGACGAGGCCATTAAGCCTCCGGCACGTCATCACTCTGTCTATGAACGCGAATTGATGGCGATGGTGTTGGCCATACGAAATGGCACCATTATCTCCTTGGGTGGCATTTTATTGTTAGAACGAGATCAAAGGAGTTTGAAGTTTTTATTGGAACGGCGCCGGGTGGTGCTGGATTATCGAAATGGTTGATCAAGCTCATCGGGTTTGACTTTGAAATTCGAGTACAAACCGGGGGTGGAGAATAAAGCGGCGGATGCCTTATCAAGACTACCGAGTGGGGGAGGAACTTCGGGCCATTTCGTTCTCGTAATTTTAGATTGGAAAGAAATAGCGAAGCGATCCGGAATGATGAGAGGCTGCAGGGCGATAAGTACTCAACTAAAGGAGGATGGCGCCACAAAGCCGGGATGGACTTTGGATCGTGGGGTTCTAAAATATAAAGGGAGGATAGCGTTGCCGTATGCCATGAATTTGATTTCCACCGTGTTGCGGGAGTTTCATGCAAGCACACTCGACGGGCACGAAGGTTTCTTGAAAACTTATAAGAAGGTGGTCGGAGAATTCTTTTGGGAGGGGATGAAGGCGGATATAAAGAGCTTCGTGCAATCCCGCCGGGTTTGCCAACGAGCAAAAGTATGATACTTTATCTCCCGTCGGTCCGTTACAACCACTTCCTATACCGTAGCATACTTGGGAGGATTTGACTATGGACTTTGTTGAAGGGCTACCTAAGTCTCATGGATTTGATACTTTTTTAGTTATGGTAGGTCGAGTAAGTATGGTCATTTCATCCTATTGAAACATCCCTTCATAGCCCGTCGAGTGGCGGAAGAATTCATTACTCATGTGGTCAAATTATATGGTTTTCCACGGTTAATTGTTTCGGACCGAGATAAGATATTTATGAGCAATTTACGGCGTGAGCTATTTCGGTTGCAGCAAACGTTATCGAAGCACAACACTTCTTACCACCCCCAAACCGATGGACAAAGTGAAGTCGTGAACCGATGTGTTGAGACATACTTGTGTTGCTTTGCCGGCCGGCGACCTAAAGAATGGTCGAAATGGATTTCGTGGGCGGAATTGTGGTACAACATGTCATTTCATACTTCGTTGTAGTGCTGCCCTTACAAGATTATGTATGGGAAAGATCCACCCCCAATCATACGGTATGATCAATCCTCTTCCATAATTAATTTTGACTTGGAGGTTATGCTTCAAAAAAGGGATGCGATGTTGCATGAGCTGAAGGAACAGCTATGTAAGGCTCGAACGGGATGAAACAGGTTGTCGACCAACACCGTCGCGAAGTTGAATTTTACGTGGGGGAAATGGTTTTCTTGAAGGCTGTAGCCTTATCGACGAAGTCGGTAGCAAAGAGGCTCAATGACAAACTAGCTCTCCGATATTTTGGTCCTTTTGAGGTGGTGGAATGCATCGGAAAGGTTGCTTACAAGCTCAAACTTCCCCTAAACTCGATAGTGCATCCCATTTTCCATACCTCCCAACTTAAGAAAGTGCATGAGGACGTATCCGCTTTCCAACCTATTCCGAGTTGATATTAATGACAAGGCGAGTGGATCATTGAGTCGGAAGTGGTATTGGATACCGGGGAGAGTCTTGCTGGTCGAGAATTTTTGATTCGGTGGAAGAACCTACCCTCATGTAAGGCCACCGGGAACCGAAGGCTTTGCTAACGATACGGTTTCTAGATTTTTGCCTTGAGGACAAGGCGGTTATTCAAGGAAGGGGTAATGATAAGGCCCGGATCGGGTGGGTCTATAGCAGAAGGAAGAAGAAAGCGACGGGGAAATAACAAATTAAAGCACTGGGCTATGGAGTTCTCTGTTGGGCTTTGAATTATGAGAAAGGAGAATATTGTGCTTGCTGGTTGGTTAATTCGTCAAGTTCTAGAATATACTCGACGTGGTCACTTTTGTTATAATTCTATTTCTCTCACGTCCGTCATGCATCCGTTATGCCTTTGGCATTTTCTTATTTTTCTTGTTCTTATATAGGGATTAGTGAGAGGGTGAGGGGAGGATTGGAGAACATTCGAGTTGTGGGAGGCCATTGGGTCGGGGAGTGTGGCAGTCACTCGAATACTGCTGATTTTGTTATCTGCCATCTTCAATAAAAAGTCCTCTCACCATCCCTCATTTTCACTCGTTCCATTACTTTTCTTTGTTATTCCGTTATGAAGTTTTCGGGTTCTTATCAATATGTTAACTATATCATGTCGAATCGATAGCAAAAAAATAAACAAGGCCATGTTAGATTTAGGGACATCAATTATCGTAATGCCTACTCCATATATACTTGCACTAAATCTAGGGCCTTTAAAAAAATTCAAAGGTAATCATACAACTAGTCGATTGTACTAATGCCTACCCTAAAAGGGGTACTAGAAGATGCTCTTATATAGGTGAACCATTTTGTATTCCTAGTGTATTTTTACATCTTGAAGATGGGAGATGAATGTCCCTATAACCTCGTACCTCTCTTGTTAGGAAGGCCATTCCTAAAGATGATAAGAACAAACATAAACGTTTATAAGGGAGCTCTCACCATAGAATTTGATGGTGAGGCGATTCACTTCGATATCATTGGAAAGAAAAATGCTTAGATATAAGGAAGCTCGGGGTCGAGCTTGACAATGAAAGATCCCCTTGATGGGAAAAGGTAAAGTCGAGCTAATGATGTTAAACAAAAATGCTTATTAGAAGGCAACTTGATGATTCTTTAAAATTTTATGTTTTGATTTAAATTTTAAGCTAGTTGTTTAATTTTCACCTGCATTTGACTTGATGGAAAGGATGTTCAACATAGGTAACTATATATGTGAATTTGGCTGAATTTCCAAAGAACAAAGGACGGACACACGGGAGTGGTAAAAGACATGGTTTCGAGAAGAAAGTCACTTGCTCGTGTGCCTAAAAAAGGCTAAAATTTGAAACTAGAAAGAAAGGAAACATGGATAGTAGCATCTTACATGGTTTGCGAAGGAAAGGGCATACTCGTGTGAATTAAAGATGAATGAAAATTGAAGAAAGGAGAAAAGAGACATAGGTAGTAGAATTTTACATCATTTGTCCAACAAAAGGCATATGGTTATGTAACTCAAATGGGACAATTCCAATTTCAAAGAAGAAACAACACACGAGTAGAATGGTTAGAACATGATTTATGTAGTAATATTACACGCCTTGTCAATAATGAAGTTTCTTAGATTTCGGGGTACATGGGCGGAATGGTTTTTACATGGTTAGTAGTAGGATTTCCACGTAGCCATGTGGAATTCAAAATGTTGAACTAGTTAGGGAGAATAAAAGGCACACGAGGCAAAAGGAAAGACATACAATTTACACATAAAAGTTACACGAACGTGTCTCCTGCCAAGCCAAAAGTTACATGATTTGCCCTCTCGAAAACCTACCCCTATGTAAACTAAAACCCTAAACCATGTAACTTCATCTTCTCCAAAATTCGCATTATGCCACTAGCCTCTTCTTTCCCATTCTTTCTCCTTTTTCGGATCTACACACATCTCATACATAACCAACCATTAAACTACATTACAAACTACACCTCTATAAATCAACACCTAGACTCCATCAAAACCAACTACGAACCCCATTTTTGCCTCCAAACTAAAGAACCCTCACTCCTTCTTCACCCAAAGCTATCACAAAAACTAAAATGTCTACTTCAAGAGACAAGGGAAAGCAAGTGGCGAGTATAACAACGAAAAAACACTCGTTTAAAGGAACCGACTATAAGGGGAAGGCTACCCTTCTAGATCTTACCCAAAGATCAAGTTTGAAAATGAAGAGTAAGAAGCCCACTACAATGTTTTGAGCAATAGAAAAGTTATAGTAAAAAGATATATGGATGTTCAAGTTCTAGAGGTTGTGGGTTTTTCAAAAGAAGTGACGAGAGATGCCGAAACTAGTT